CCTGCCAACACGTGCTCTATTCACTAGGCCATACTGCCTCTAAACCATGCTGGATTCAAATCCAGCCTGGCAGATTAGCTCCGGGGATCTCAAGCACACCTGGCCAGCGTGGGGCTGAAAGCGGCAGTTTTAAGTTGCTGGACACATAACAGGTCACAGACTCACCGCCGCGGCGCCTCCTGCTGGTCGTCCAGGAAGTAGCTCAATTCCAGCACTTGGAGCACCCCCTGCTGGCCAGTGTCTCTCCTGCCTCAGGCCCTGTGTCCCTCCCAGACCCCAGTGCCCTTTACCCTGGGGTTCTGCCCACAGCAGTACCCCCACACTCTGGGTCTCCCCTCCCAGGGGAACCCCCAACCCTCTAAGCCCACCTCACCTTAGTGGCTACTGCCAGTCATCATCTAGCCCCCCTGCACTGGGGCAGACTGCAGTCTGTAATGGCCACTCATCACTGGCAAGGGGGTTGGATCTGCTGCCTTTCTTGGCCCCGCTGTCTCCCTGCAGCCCCAGTACCTCCTTTGGCCTTCAGCAAGGCCTCAGCCTGGGGCCTCGCCAGGCCAGAGCGCCCCAGCACTGCTCTGCTTCAGATCCCCTGTGCGCCCAGGCAGCTAGGTCCTTCTCACTCCAGGGCTGGAGTGAAACTCGGTGTCCTGGCTCGGTGCCCTGATTGAGCTGGCCACACCTGGGGCCAGCTACCCAGCCAGCCTCCCTCAGCTGCTCTTAATCCCTTTTCTAACTGGGTCCCCACCACAGCCCTCTCCAAGGGCTGCTTTTAACCCCTGCTCTCCCAGAGTGGGGCAGCCGCCCCACTACAGACACCAAGTAATTTTATTTTAAAAGTTACTAAAAATATTTAGCGAAATAAGAAATGGTTCTGGTAGGCTGGCTTTAACCGGCTCTCCCTCGCTGCCAACTGGGGGTGAGGCTTTCACTCTTCAGTCACAGGAGTTACTTCACATACCCGAGGGCCACCATGACCAAACAAATGTCACATTTATTAACTGGGGCTATTTTAGTATTAAAGAAAGCGGGGGAGCCAATCAAACACAAGCCGGCAGAATACAGGCACTGAACTGGCAACTTCCGTTACAATCTCAGCCGTCTCTCTGGAGAGTTTAACAGTGATTACAGTGCGCAGGTAACGGCCTCTGGGGGCGCGTCTCTCTTGGTAAGAGAACGCCCAAGTCTGTTATTGCGAATCCATTCTTTTGTGTATCGTCAGCCAACTAAGAATGTTCACTGATGGGCAAACAAATTTTGTTTCAGGGCCGGCGGACCTGCTGGTGATTAATAACTAACCAGCCAGATTAGAAGTGGCAAGGTAAGCAGTCTTAACGGCATCCTATGACATTGAAGCAAATGTTTAAATCAGTTGCTTAGAAGAAGCCATCGAAGGAGCTGTGTTTTAAAACAGGCCAATTACAAATTTTAAATCCAGCTGCATTCTACGGGGTCTCTTTCCCAGCGTGTGAAGAGTTTGAAGTCTAACCCCTTTGCAGCGTCTCAGTTAACTCCCTCTCACCGACCCACACTGAAGTCTTGGGGAGGTTTCCCTTGAGATGGTTTCTCTGCCTTAACCACAAGCCCATCTCTCCTGTCACAATGAGCTGCTGCTAAAGTCAACTAGCAAAGTTAATCCCCCACCCTCCTAGGGGTGAACTCTCAAGAAGGGCTGGGCAGAACGAGCTGCACTGAAGAAAGGGATCCATCCCCAATCTAGTTTTCCGGCACAAATAACTTTCTTGGGTCCTGGTCACGTGTGCCGTCCGACATTTGGGCCTCGGCAGAGTTTTGTTAGTGTATTAGTAGGATAGTGGTTTTACATCGCATGGTTGTTTACCACAGTGCAGCCACAGGGTCATCTGGAGGGAAGGGGCCCCACGAATGGGCACATGGGGCATGCAGAGCAGTGACTCACCAGCCAGCAACACACCCCCTCACGGCTGGGCATGGCATTCCAGGATGACCTCTGCTGACGTCCCTGCACGACAGCTGCTCCAGCCCTGCACTGATCCAGCTGCTTCTCCTAGTCAGCCCTCCGGACCCCACGATCCAGGGGGAGACAGGTTCCACCACCCAGCAATCCAATAACCTCATGCCAGATCTTCGGCCCAGTTCTGGGCTCAGTTCCTTACACCCCTTCAATATGGGGGCGTGGGTCACACAACCTTCCTCCGGGGCCAGTTCTAGGCCAGGGACCCTGGAGCAAGCCACTGCAGTCTGCTCCCTCAGGCTCCTGGCTGCTCCCTGGACCACTTCCAACCTCACCCTGTCTCTAGGCAGCTCCTGCCTGGACCCCCTCCTCCACAGACCCTTCACTCCTTCCGAGGCTCTGCAGAGCCCCTTCCTGCTCTTGGACCACACGCCGCCTGTCAGGGCTTTCTCCCTGGAGGGCCAACTCCTGTCTGCCTCTCCCCAGACTGTGAGCGTGTCCACATCTCTGCCTGCCATTCACCAGCACTTCCATCAGCAGAGGATCCTCAGACCAACTCACCTCCTACCTCCCCTAGTCCCCTGGAATCCTTCCTTTATTAGCCACCAGCTCCCCTCAGCTGGGCCTGGCCCACCCTCCAGGTGCGGGCAGGTGCACTAATTGCCCTCCCGCTCCAGTTAACTCTTTCTCTGCCAGTGCGGAGTGCACGCCCCATCACCAGGCCCGCAGGGCCATTCCCTCCCTCTGCTTCTGGGAGGGCAGAGTCACATCTGGAGGGGGCATCCCGCCCCGAGACACCAGCAAGGCAGAGCCAGCGGGCTGAGGCGGGGAAGGGTTCAGGAGAGATGGCGGAGATCAGGGCAACAAGGCAGCTTAAAGACTAACACATTTATATGGGCATAAGCTTTCGTGGGTAAAAAACCCACATCCCAAAGCGGACATTTATCTGCTGCTTGTCACTGGGCTTTGTAACCTGGATGCCCCGACAGACCCTGGCTGCTCCCAGATGCCCAAAGCAGCAGCCGTCTTAAAAGCCCAGATCCTCAAAGATATCTAGGTCCCTAACTCCCATTGAAATCATTCACCTTTGAGGACCTGGGCCCAAGAATTTGTTTTCCAGCTGCACTTGGGTAGAAAGCGTCACTCCTTCCATTCAGCCATGGACCTCATCTACTTCCCCCGGTCATGATGGGGTTTAACTCAGTATGTTTCTAAAACGCTTTGAGAGGGAAAGAGCAAATTCTATTCTCAGTCAGAACACCGGCTGTCTGCCACGTTCCTATTGGCCTGGCAGCAGTAAAATGAACACACATTGTTGCAACTGATGTTCTACTCAGTGCCTGCATGTCATCGACTAGCCTGGAGACAAAGCTGGGCAGGGCAGCTGCTAGTGCAGAGTGGGAGCGTCTAACCCGCTTTGACCCACCTTGAGATTGCACTTGCTGGAGTTTCTAGTCTACAAAAATTAAAAGGCAGATCCTCATCTGACGCAAATCCGTGTCGCTCCATTTAAGTCAGTGGGCCAGATCCCCAGCTGCTCTAAACTGGCACAGCTCCGCTGAAGTCAAGGAGGATTTTCACCAGCTGAGGATCTAAGTATTTTGTTAAGGAGAAGACAAGCTGGTGCTTTGCGATTCTTCAGCCCCCAAAGTGGTACCACCAGCCTCGTGAGTCCAGGTCCCCCCAAAACCTCAAGATTGGCTTAAAAATCATGATTTTTTAAAAAATAAATGTGGCGTTCTTTATCTTTGCCTTCTACTTTCGGAGCCTTTAGGGGACATTGGGGTCACATTTCCATGTTTTCCTCTGCAACCAGGCAGGCTGGAAGCTTACTAGGAACAAAGGAAAGCTGAGATTCCTCTGGCTCCGGGAGCTGGGGCTTTCAGAAAAACACCACATATCACAAGACTCACAGTACTGTAAAGGGAATTTCTCCCAACCTCTTGGGCCAGGTGACTTAGACTGGAAATATCATAAGCACAGACTATGCCTGAAAATCTCCAGTGCTGGCTGCTTCCAGGGGGCTGCCCATAATCCAAACTGGGGGGGGGGGTGCTGGTTGCTTAGTCCTGTCTTGACAGAGAGACCTTGGTACAAGCAAACAACCCCCTCTGCCTTCCCTAGGAGCCATCACATTCAGCAAAGCCGCCCCACCATCACTGCCACAATCCCTGCCCCCTAGCGCATGCCAGAGCCGAGGGGTGAGCGGCCCTCTTTGCCCTGATCTCAGCTCACTGGGCAGGTGGGGGGAGTGGGAAGCAAACTCCAGCATCAAGCCCCCCCTCGCTGAGAAGCCCCTGCCCCCAGGTCACTCAAGCCTCCCACCCCGCATGCTGATCTCAGCAGCCGGCGGAGACAAGTGTTAGGTTGGGGCCCCTGCAAAGTGGTTCAGTCACAGCTCAGGGGGGGCTGGTGTTACATTGTCAGGAGCCTGTTTGTAACCCCCCTCAGCATCACCGCCGGCTCGGGGAGGGTGTCCCTTTTCCCGGGCAGAGCCTCTGGGCCTGACCCTCCTTGGACTCAGGGGTCGAGGCAGCGCCTGGGGTCAGGGCGGGGAGAAACGGGCCCGCCGTGCTGTCAGGGAGCACAACAAGTGGGCTCTTCTCCACGGGCAGGGAAGGACAAAGCCCCGCTTCCCCCCCCCGGCTTCCCGACTCCGGCAAGCGCTGGCGGGGAGAGCAGCCAGGCGAGAGGGGAGGTGGCTAAAGCCCGGCTAATCCCCCAAGGAGCCCTGACTGGCAGAGAGCTGCCTTTTCTCTTCCCTTCGGTGTGTGCACGTCCGTCTGTCTCTCCTCCGCGCGCCGCGCCCGCCGCCTGCCTCCTCTTCCCCTGCGGCTCGCCGGAGACATTGCCACGGTCGCCTGCAAACTTGGGGAAGGGGGGAGCGAGGGAGGAGGAGTAACCGAGCGCCGAAGAAGAAAAAAATAAAACGGGGGGGGGGTTGGGAGGGGGAGCTGGGTCTTCTGTCCGCACCTCGGGCAGGCGGCGGAGCTGGCTTGGGAACAGACGAGCCGGGGAGAGAAGAGATGAGCCCCCAGCTGTCCACGAGGCGGATGAAGAGAAGCCCCCCATGATGGGGTCCTGCGTGTCCCAAGGTGAGTGCCATCCAGCGCGGACGAGGGCTGGGGCTGGGGGGAGGGGAGAGAGAAGACGACTCGCACCTGCCATCCAAAGGCAGCTGCTCTCCAAGCCAAGGATTGTGTCTGCCCCCCCATGGGGGTGTCTGCCCATTCCCCGCCTTGCCAGCCAGCCCCTCGGATGCGTGTGTGTGTGTGTGTGGGGGGGGGGGGGGTACTGAATATAACAGAGACTCAGGACAAGGAGTCAGGGAATGGCTTTATTCCCTGCTAGCCGAGGGCTGTTGGCTGGGGGGGCAGGGGCAGATCTGGGGGTGGGGCATTTAGCGTTTGCCTTTACTACAAGGCTCCCCTGGGGCACTGGCTGGAACTTCACTCATGTGCTGGGTGAAAGTCCCCATGCTCCAGGGCTCAAACAGGACACTAACTGAGGCGGGTCAGGCAGAAACCGCCCCTAAAGGCAGGTTATTCCATCTGTGTCCACTAGGGGGTTTCTTGCACCTTTGTCTGAAACAGCTGTTTCCAGGCACTGTCTGGAGGGAGCCCTGGTCTGAGCGTCATAATACTCCCAATCTCCCCCTCCCGAACCCCAGCCTCCTGCATCTTGGTCAAGCCCCTTCGCGTCAGCCCTGGTCCCAGAGCAGCATCTGCCCTGCACAGCCAGGATGAGACAGACTCTGCCACGGCAGGTCCTGGCTTGCTGCGTGCAGACAGCCAGGTACCTACCTGTCTTCCAACCCCGGGGCAGTGACAACTTGCCACATCTCTGGGACAGTCACTCCAGGAGGAGCAGGCAATAAAGGGAGGCATTTGGTGCTTGGTGGGAAGCCTGGGGAAGCGAGGCTTTTGGTCTAGTCCCCAAAACCCTGGCCAATCCTCAGCTTCCATGGGCAACTTGTATTGAATTCAGCCCAGAGAGTCATATTTTCCAAGGAAATAGTCCCTTATAACAGACGCTTTCATCCTAAAAGCTGCATTGCAAAGCAATTTGTAATGATCGTTTCAGCCCACGCCAAAATGCAGCCACCTCTGGGGTGCAGTGCGCATCGCCACGGAGAAGGCTGCACACTGGGATTAGCCTCCCTGGGCCAGTAAGAGCCAGTGGTGAAGACTCCATCACGCACAAGGAAAGCTGGTGTCAGCATGTTTTCCTCATGTACTACCGGGCTGCTTTTTAAAGGGAGTTGGGTGTTGGTGAAAGGTTGGAGCCTATTTGGTGATTGGGACTAATGGGCAGAGCCCATCAAAGCAACAGAAGGCCCTCGGGTGAGGGAGGGGCCCCAGGGCCCAGAAATATACTGAATACTGGGGACAACAAATGAACAAACCAGGATGGGGAAACAGGTCACAGGGGCAAAGCAAGGGGTCCAGAAGGGGACACAGAGCTGAGGACACCAGCACCCACCATGCCGAGAAGGAGGCCAAGGAGACAGTGGACGCTGCGCATAGGAACCCTGCCTGGATGGATGAGGGACTGGGAAAATGCTCCCACTGGCAGAGACGCCCCTGTCCAGCTCCTTGCTTCTGGACTGATGGACAATCACGGGGAGGTTGATGGGGAGGTCTTGGGCCCTTGGATGTGAAGGGCTTAGAGGAAGAGGTGTGGGGGGAAGAGCAGCCAGGACAGGTGACAGGCCTGTACCAGTAGGGAATTCTGCTTAGCTCCAACACCTGCACCACAACGCCCTGCATCCTCTGCCAACACTCCCTTGCCAACCCAGAGGCAACCGCTGGTGAGGGCAGGGGCCACTCCGGGTTTTGGCTTCTCTCCTGGAGACTGCTGGGTGTGCAGGTGATATTTAGGATGTGGAAATCAGTCTCATGGGAAAACTCATGCCACGCCAGCCCTGAGATAGCACCAGCTTTTAAATCATGACTGACTTGATCTGAATACAAACTAGAGATGAAAGGCCCATTACAAAGTCCAGGAGCCAAAACAGACCAGGGACAGAGAGGGCCATCGGCCAGATTCTCCAAGCACATGGAGTTCTTTTGAAAACATGGCCCCGTGCGCACAGCTAGGCCTAGACAGGCCCTTGTCATGACACACGTCACCTTACACCGCGAAGGCTGCACCTCGAAATCAGCCTAGCCTGGAGAGTGACACGGAAGCCAGCTATGCCTCCCCGGGAGCCATCGTCCATTTCCCTTGAGTCACGTATGTTTGAATCGCTCGGGATCTTCACAGCCAAACGGTGCAGGTACAAACAGTCTGCACGGCAGGGCTTTTCCATGGCTGTGTGTCTCGGTCCTTCCTTTGCTTTCAGAGCAGTGAGGGGACACCTTGCTGTTGGCTGCTGGTGAGGTGCGATCACACCAGGGTTCTTGATAAGCTCCAGATGGACCCGGGTGACAAGGACAAAGGGGGCCACACTCGCACTGAGCCTCCCAGGAGCAGCGTGAGGGGAAATCTGTAAATATCTGTGTGGCACTTCAGTGGTGTAAGTTTAAGGGGGGCAGTGTGGCCTAGTGGACAGAGTGTGCGATCACACTTCAGAATACATGGGTTCTAGTCCTGGCTCCACTGGGTGACCTGTAGCAAGTCATTACCATGTATCGTACCTCAGTTTCCCTGCCTGTAAAATGGGGGTAATGCTACTGATCTCCTTTGAGATCTACATCTCTTGTGCTCTGTCAAGCTGCCTGGGATGGGACACCCCTCAGAGCTCTAATCTCAGGTCAGACTCACAGGAGTTGAAGACAAAAACCAGCCTCGTAAAAAAAATCCACTTTTTCAGTTACTACCGGATTTCAGAAAATACAAATCCACCCAAATCAACACTGGCCCAAAGAAGGAAAAAAAGCCCACCCAATTGTGCTTTTACATTATCCCAAAACACCAACATTTTGCAGTTCCTCTTAGTGGGTGGCTGTTACAGACGCTTCTAATTTCACACCCACCCACATCAGAGCAGACGGATTAGATCTGGTGCGGTTCAACTCCGGGGGGAGCTGGATATTTAAATGCTTCCACTCCATTTGGAAAGCTCCGGTTTCTCTTTTAACCAGATCCAGGCACACTTTATATAGGTGTGTGTGTGTGTGTGTGTGTGTGTGTGTGTGTGTGTGTGTGTGTGTGTGTGTGTGTGTGTGTGTGCGCACAAAGACCTTGTACACACACACTTAAAAGCCTTAAGTGCTGCCGGAACCGGCAGAGGAGAGACTGCTTATGGAGAAGCAAAGCCTTTGAAATGCCCTAGGTTTGCGCCAGACCCCATGGCACTCTGCAGATACACCCCCTATACACTCACTATATATATCTGTAGAGAAGAGGAATTTTATTCTCCAAGGGCCTTAGCGTCAGCCTGTGGCATTCTTCCCTAGATGTGGCCTTGTGAGGCTGGGCCGGAGTGGCATGTTGTACTTGTGCCTATGACTCACCACCCAGACCGTCGGTTACACTTAATAATATTACTGTCTGCAGAGCCTCTTAGGTGGAGGATGCCGCCATGTGCCATGCACTAGGGCTCTGCCCGCTGGGAGCCCGGGGGAGATTAGTTGCTGGGGAGAAGGATGTGGAAAGGGAGAGCTCTAGCGGGCTCGTTATCACCTGCTGCAAGGTGCTGCTTGCAAAGGAGCCAGGAAAAGGGACTGGTGCTACACAAAGCATCGTGTTCTTAGCTGCGCCACCCGGACCCAGGCTATGCGGGGGGCCCGAAGCTGGAAAAGAGATTTGGCATAAAATGTAAATAAGATTCATAACACCTACTTCTCAGCTAGCACTTTTCACCACTAGAGCTCCAGGCACTGTGCACAGGAGGGCAGTCTCATTATCCCATTTTACAGATGGGGAAACTGAGGCACGGAGCAGGGCTGGGACTTGCCCAAGGTCACCCAGCAGCAGAACTTGGACCAGGACCCAGGTCTCCAAAAGCCCAGTCCTGAGTTCGTGCTACCAGGACAAACTGTTAAGAAATTCTCCCCTTCTTCTCGAATGTGTTTTCCAGAGTGGGTGACTTTATCCCTGGATACCCTGCTCAGAGCCCATCTCCATGGGGGAGATTTTCTGTGTTTGTAGAGCGCCTAGACCCGTGGGGCCCCGTTCCATAGCTGGAGTTTCCACCTGCTGTGAAAATACAAATAATAAACACTAATAAAAAAACCAATTCAGCTAAGCTGTTTAGCGAGCCATCGCGTGGACCCTGTTTGAGGTGGTTCAAAGAATCCTGATCTGTTCAGACTTCGCCAATTTCCAGAGGACTGAACTGCTTTCAGGCCCAAGGTGGTTTTCGTTTTGACCATTTGCATGCGGGAGCCATTCACAACCGCTTTGCTCCAGCGCCAACAGCTGCACAAGGCGTAGGGCGATCGAGAATCCCACCCTGTTCGCTTGAGGGACACAACCACGTTTGGCTCCCGTTCGCCCTGCATGAGCCAGCACGGGGTGAGCTGGATTCAATTCTGCCTCCCGCATCATCGCCAGAGCTGGCCCCTCTATTCCCATCCGCCCCATTGAAGACGAGGGGCTGCCCGGGTGTAGAATTTGCCAGCTGATCCTTTGCAACTGGCGATGGTTGGGGAGAAGGATGAGAACCCCCAGCGTGACCCTCAGAGCCCGGAGGAGTTTGCAGGGCCGGGAGCTAGAAAGACCTCATCTCTTTACTCAGAAAGGGGACACATTTGATCTGGAGTCACTGGAGGCCTAGATCCTCAAAGGTATTGAGGTGCCTGAAATCAATAGAGGATTTGCCAAAGTATCTTTGAGGACAAATAAACATGGCGCCTCACAAAACCCTTTAAATCAAGGCACAGCTCTGAGCAGAATCACACTTGAAAGCTAATTTCCTGCCTCCATGATATTCCTCCCCACGGTCAGGCAGCCGGGGGCATCAGAGCCAAAGCTGTGAACGGGCTGCATTGTCTGAGGGAGGACAAGGGCTTCCCGCTGAGGAAGCTTGCAGGGTTTCAGCGGGGCAGGAGAGGGCCCTGAGTTGAAAGCAGGCGCCGAGGGTGCAGCGGGGCGTGAGAACATGGTTTCCAGGAGGAAGTGCCCATGGCTTTTCAGGAACTGGGGATAAAATACATAAAATCAGCTGTGAAAGGCAACGCGGCCGCCCGCCGGGTTCTCAAAGGGGATGAGATTTTTAAGGGTATGAGGTAGGGTGACCAGACAGCAACTGTGAAAAAACGGGACAGGGGGTGGGGGGGGTAATAGGTGCCTATATAAGAAAAAGTCCCAAAAACGGGACTGTCCCTTTAAAAATGGGACATCTGGTCACCCTATGAGGCAGATGTTGAAATCAGATGGAAAACACAGAGGGCTGCAGGGCAGGGTTTGCTCTGAACAGTGTCTTGGTGACTCTAGGTGGCTTCACGCGTCGTAGCCTGGACCCCCGTGCCCCGGCCAGATCCCAGCACGGAGAGTTGTTCTAAGCCCTCCCTATGTGGAAGGGACACACAGGTTCCCATACAGACCGAGGCCCTGTCTAGACTAGGGTCTGGAAGGTGTTAGCTAATGTCTTAACAGCCTAATATAGACAAGGCCTTCAACATGTGTTAAACGGGCTGAGTTAAAGCCTACCCCACGTGAGCTAACGCCTTCCAGACCCATGTCTAGACAAGCCAAGGCCTTCACTGGCCCTGGTGTGTGTCATGCACACGGACAGTGTTGTCAGATTTAGGGCATGTCGACCCCATAATCCGAGGTGCGAATGCAGTGTAGGTAGATGTACCCGCGCTAGCTTTGATCTGCCTAGCACGGCTGAAAATAGCCATGAAGATGTAGCAGGAGGGGCTTTGGCACGGGTTGTACCAGCCTGTTGGAACCCTGGATACGTCCTCACATTTCAGGCCCATGCTGGCTAGATCACAAAGCTAGGGCAAGTATGCCTACGCCTACAGCAGGGCCAACTCCAAAGGTTGAAAAATCAGGAGTCAGGCTCACCAGAAATCATGAGATTGGCTTTAAAATCATGAGATTATATAAAAATAATAGATTTGGGGCTCTTTTTATTTGCCTTCTGCTTTTTGAGCCTTTAGGGGGTCACATTTTGAAGCTTTTTCCGCAGCCATGAGGGCTAGAAACTTCTTTAAGAACGAAGGCTGAAATCATCACAGATCCACCTGACTCCAGGAGCTGGGGCTTTATGGAAACAATAATGATCATGAGACTCGTGACAAAATCACGAGAGTTGGCAATGCTGCACCTGCCTGCACTGTTTCGCACCTCTGTACCCTAAGGGGCTGAGCATGCAGATGCTTACTCCGGCGGTGTCCTGTTTACTGCTGTGAGCTAATCCCAGTGGAGCCAACGGGGCTGTTCCCAGTAGGAAGTCATGCGACGGGGGCGTAGGAGTTTGCGAGGCCCCACAGATCTGAAGTTCATCAAAGCAGGGAGCTTGTCATCTTGCATTGGCCTGCAAAGCACCCGGCACGGTGAGACAGAGATCAGAACGGAGGCAGATGTGGAGAAGGTGCCATCTGAGCAGGCTGGGCTGGAGTGCAGGTAAGGGAGTAGGCGACACCTTCCCCGAGCAGGTGGATGAGGGTGGAAGAGAACCAGGCCATGGGCTCCCTTTTCCAGGCTCAGCACGGTCAGCCGGCTCCATCAGCTAGTTTCCCCTGCTGGATAGCTGCAGCCCCCCCAACGCTCTCTGAACATGCCACACTGGGCGAGGAGTACAGGAACATCCTTAGCCGATCCTCTCCCTAGCAAACTCCCAGGAGGGCACAGCTGGTGGGGACAGAGGCAAAACTGGTTGTGCACTCAGACGTCGATGAGGATTGCGGGGGAAGAACAAGGCAGCACAAGTCCTTGCTCCATGCTAATGCTGAACCCAGACTGCTCCAAGGGGCCTTGTGAAGAGAGAAGGGGAAGTGGTTGTGGCCTTTTCGCTTCCTGAGGATGGATAAAGAAGGCTGGAAAAGGTTCGTTTCCTAACTCTGTCCCTTTGAAATATCTGCTCGTCTCTGGTCCTGCTGGAGGACTCCTTGGAGATCCTAGAGATGGAGGGTGTCAGCGCTCTTCAGGCTTAAATTGCAGCAGAGAAGGTGTCAGAGCTTTAGCAAAGGGGCTTTTGTTCCCAAGCGTTTGCCATGTGTTTGACTCAAATGCCTGTTTAACACAAAGCAAACCCAAGAGGTTTAAAGAGTCTGAACAAAATCACCTCCCTCCCACCCTCCCTCTCAGTTAATCAGCTTTTACTCGCATGACACTCCTGAGGCGAGGATCTGACCGGGTCTCCAAGCAGCCCTAGTGTCGCCCTGGAAACCCAGAGTAGACAAGACCTGAATTTTGAATGCAAAGTAAGCACCAAAGAGAAAAAATCCAAAGTTGCCTTCCAGGCCTTATGTGTCCATCCCAGCATGAAAGGGCCCAGGGCCCAATTATATTTCCTAACGCAGGTCACCTAGAAGAGACAGCCCCAGCACAGGGGCTCTCACAAAGACCTTTGCCCGTCTCTGTTACACTTCACCTCCCTGCCTGTCTTCCTGAGTTTTTCCTGCTGCTTGCCTGGCCGCACAATTTATTCTGTGGGCCACAAACACCGCGTTACAGCGAGAGCTGTGCCTGGCATTTCCCACGAAGGGCCCTCGACTTTAAAATTTGTTCTTCTCTTGGTCCAAACCAGGGGCGGCTCCAGGCACCAGCGCACCAAGCACGTGCCTGGAGCGGCAAGCCGCGGGGGGTGGCCTCCCAGTCCTGTGAATTCGGCGGCAGGGACGCCGAAGGCGTGGGACTGGCGGACCTCCCGCAGGCATACCGCCGAATCCTCATGAGCAGCGGACCTCTCGCAGGCGTGCCACCGAAAGCCGCCTGACTGCCATGCTTGGGGCGGCAAAATACATAGAGCCGCCCCTGGTCCAAACTACTCCAAATGCATTGATGTGCGGGGAATACTGTAGGGTGCATGGGCTTTCTTGCCTTTGGGGATGGAATTAGCGATGGCTAGGGCCTGTCCAAGTGGGCTGGGGTAATTCTCTATTTGATTGCCCTGGTGTGTGGCTACACGGGTCGGAGTTGTATCTGATGTATCTGTTGTATGGACCAGGTGTGTCAATTGGTGTCCTAGCTCCCAGCGCTTTAAGGGCAGGTGTTTTCTCATCATCGCCAGTCTGCCCACACTACTAGGTGCATCAGGCAAACAGCCCAATTACCCCCATCCTGCACTCATTTCCCACCATTTTTATATTCAGATGCAGTAACTCTCCTTCAGCCATTATCGTGCTGTGTTCCAAATACATCCATCCTTTCTTCTGCAGCATTAGCGTTGATGTCGGTAGTTGTGCCTGGTCTAGGATCTCTTCGTTGCTGATAATGTCACCTGCACTGAAAGCTGTTCAGTTTGCACTAAAGGGACTTATTATTTTTCCAGGCCTTTGCTCCATATAGGACACGTAGGACGTTGGTTCTAAGGATCTTGTGTTGGGCGTTTTTGCTAATTGCACTGAACTTCCTCCTGTGCTGAGTTTTTCACATCCGGCACTTGCTTGACCTCTTCCGGACTTTCCATCAGACATGCAATCACCACGAACGATGCTGCCCAGTTCAGTAAATGTATTAATGGTTTTCAAGCCTAATTAAATAAAATAAGCCTATCAATTCTAATCATTATTGATTATCAGCACTGAGGCAGCGTCTAGGGGTCCAGCCCTGTGGTGCTAGGCGCTGTACAAACATCAAACAAGCCAAAGTTCAAACCGCCTGGTCAGCTCTTGAGGGATTACTAAAGAGCACTGCTGCAGGAGGAAGGGAGGTGGCCATTCCTGCCAAGGAACACTCCTGGCAGGCTGTGCCTCAGTTTCCCCAAATACTGACAAGGGGAGTGTGAGGCTGAACCATTAATGTTTGTGGAGCACTGGGTGGCTGTCAGGTGGAAGGGGCCAGAGAGGAGCAGAGGGAATAGATAGATACAGTATTAAGTGGCATAGAAGCCACTGAGAGAGCCTCTGGATGCCCACAATGGCATATTTTGATCCATAACTTAGACCTGTGTAACAGGCTCCCTTCTCCACCCTCGGGACCACCCAAAGAGGCTGGATGCTTCCAAGTTTATAAGCACCTGTGTGTTATTTGTTGGATCTCCTCCACCAGTCCAGCAACATGCCATGGGAAGTAAGCAGCCTCCTTCGCCCTCTCTCCAGAGATCTCAGGATCCCACAGCCTCTGCCCCTTGCACTTCCTTCCTCGCCTTGACCTGTTGGCAGCTGGCAGGTTGATTGCTCGCTTTAGCTCATCAACCTCGTACCTAATCAAACCATTGAGCACCCATCCCCCCAGTTAAATCCAGCCCAGCGGGGACTAGCTAATGCCTCAGCGAGCAGAACGCTGGGTCTGTGCTCGGCTCCTAGCACTGTCACACCTAGTGGGAAATTTTCCATGTAAGCTGTTTTTGATGGAAAATTAGGTCTTCGACTAAACAACATTTTTCACAAAAAGTGTCTGCTTTCCTTGAAAAATGGTGACGTTTCGTCAAAAAGCTGAACACCTGAAAATCAAAATATTTCTATTTGGAAATGCTGCCCCAGTGCCCTATGGGAGTTGTAGTTTGGCTATTTCACGCTCTCATTCACCTCTGTGGGCCAAGTTCCCCATCAAACTACATATCCCATGAGGCACCAGAGCCATGGACTCCTATGATGCGCTGTGGTAGCACAGCAGGCAAGACCACGGTGCATCATGGGAGATGTAGTCTGGCTGAAGAGCTTGTCCTATAGAGGAGAATGGGGACATGAGGCAGCTGAACTACAACTCCCATGAGGCACCGCAGCACCATTTCCAAACCGAAAGTTTTGGGGTTCAATTTTGGGCCAAAAAGTTGAAATTTTCCATCTCCCCCCTCCCCAATTTTCCAAGCCTCTCTTTTATAACTGCCCTGTAAACAGATAGCAAAGTAGGGTTACCAGGCCCAGCCCGTCTCTCTCTCACCCATCTCTTTTCTCCTTCGGTTGCAGAATTCTTCACAAGTGCTCAGAAGGAATATTCCAACGCCAGCCACCCACAGTGCCCTCCTTCCACCCACCATGACAGTCAGCAAGTGCCTGCAACTGCCCTGGAGAAGAATAACAGCAAGGTAACCAAAGAGTCAGGCCCCCAGGACAATCATCACAAGTGCTACAGGAATATGCAATCTATGTGTTGTGGCCCCTTCCAGCAGCTTGGCCTCACTGAGAAGAACAGGCAGTGGCTGCTGCCACAGCCTAATGGAGTTAGCTCCAAAGAGCTGTACCGTGCTGCTGAAGGACCTGGGTTCGAACGCTGCTGCTGACCTGTGAGGGTGGCTGTTATAACTGACTTCTAGTTGCTGTTTGGCAAACACACCTTGAGGCTTGTAATGGTCTGGTAGGGTGACCAGATGTCCTGATTTTATAGGGACTATGCTGATATTTGGGGCTTTTTCTTATATAGGCCTCCCACCCCCGTCCCGATTTTTCACACTTGCTGTCTGGTCACCCAGGGCGGGGGGGGATTTAAACATTTCCCTGCCGCCCGAAAGGTCACCTTGAGAGTTCCCCTGGCAAGGAGTGCGGATGACTCAGGGATGGGAAACAGGCGGGGGAGCCGCTCACCCGTTCATGAGGGAATGAAAGCTATTATAGGCTGTTCAGTGGGCCGCGTAACAGCAGCTTGGTGGCTCAGACAAAGGCCAAGTGGCCAGGGATCCGTATTGCCTGTGCTTATTGGCAGCCTCTCCAGTGAGGCCAAGCACTGAATGGGCCATGTTATTATTATTATAACATCCAGGATCCCCAGTCATGGCCCAGGACCCCATTGTGCAAGGTGCTGTACAAACCCAGGACAGAATGACAGGCCCTGTCCTAAGGAGCTGATCAGCTAAGCCATGGAGCCCTCCCCCAGGTCAGCACCAACAGCACTACCTTACCCTGTGTGTATGGTGGGGGAAGCTGCTGGTACCTGGCCAGCCCAGTGCTGGGTTCAGGCCTGTCCATCCAACACCATTCTATAAACAACCGTGAAAGGGAGTTAGAGAGGTAGTGTTGTCTAGCAGCTAGGGCCCCTGCCTAGGAATCAGGACACCTGGGTTCTATTCCTCACTCTACCACTAACCTGCTGCGTGACCGTGGGCGAGTCACTTCCCTGCTCACTAGGCCGCACTGCTGTCCCCTCACTTAGAGAATTGTGTAGCTTTGTGTCTTTCAGACAAGCTGTCTGAATAAAGAATTATCCACCTGCAAACCCCAGTCAAGGTTAAAGGGGGAAACAAGACAAAAGCAGTGACTTGCTGGAGTGGGGAAGAAGGGAATGGGGAAAGGAGGGGAATGAATGAATAAAACAAGCCAGGAGGAAGGAAGACAGAAGAAGGAGCCACTGTGCTAGGCGCTGTACAGAGAAGACAGGCCCCACCTCAGAGAGCTGCCTTGGGCTACGGGAATCTCGGTTTCCCCTCCACCCCGTGACAAATCTGCAGCTTTGGCACCGGTTTTAATTCGTTTACTCCCCTGTGTTTTAGGAAAACCAGATGGATTTCTGCTGGGACCCTCTGCAGGTCAGTGTGGGTTGGGTGGCCCTGGGGGTACATTGCACTTCTACAGTCTGGGAACCCTATGCTGAGCTCCTGGGAGAATGCAAGGCAGGGTTTGGCTGAAGCAGTGCCCCCTAGTGGATGCATGTGGTGGTTGCTGTGCACGAAGCTGTGCTTTTTGGGGGAGGTTGGCCAGGTTGGAAGTCCCTGGAAAACTGTGGCAAGTGGAGGAGGTAGGTTCAAGGTGATCACATCAGCTGGCCTTTGCTCAGCTCCGGCGGGGATGGGGAGGCTCTGGTGGGCCACAAGGCCGGCACAGGTCCTCACCCTGAATGGGACCACTGGGCTTTCGTGGGACAGTGAGGTCCTGCAGACCCTAGCCATCGCAGGACTCTGTGCCAGCGGGTGTAGAACCAGCCCTGCAGACTGGGCACAGCTGGGAGGTACCTGGTAGACACTGAGCATGTCTCCCCTCCCACACGCACATCTCTGTGAGTTTTGTAGGATTGGCTCGGCCACAAAGATCAGTCTACTCACCGGCCTGCAGGCTGGGAACTTGCTGCTTTATTTAACTGCATCACACCAGAGCATGGGGGGGAGGGGCAAGGGGGAACTACGCCAGACTAAATCGGAAAGTAAGGGAGGCGTGGAGCGTGGCTCCATCCCATAATACTCTGTGCAACCCAGTTAACCCCATGATGGCCACTTAACTACAGTTGCCCCTGGAGTTACCAGCATGGGAACTTCTGCAACCACCTTTGCAGCAGCAGAGCACACCAGACATGGTCCCACAAGCCCCCCTCACGAGTCCGCAGCAGAATGCCACCCATCCGTTGCATCTCGTATCATGAGTCCTGAGTGCCCATGGGCTGCTGGGTCCTCTGGGGGCTCCCCCACCCTGGAGGCCCCCACCCCTGGCCTGCATGGGTCCCCTCTCTTAGACGTGGGGCTGGCTGAGGGTACTCGGCTCTCTCCCCGCTGACCCAGACGGTCTTGCCAGCCTTTGCGTCTCTTCTCCCTCTGCAGAAATGTTTCAAGACGTCCAGTGGGATCCTCTCCGATTCCAAATTCGGCTCCAGCGGTTACAACGTCACGGCCCTGGCGACCTCCTCTCTGGTGGGTAGGTAAAGACCATCCCTCCCTCCCGCCAGGCGCCATCACCCCTGAGCCCCGGGTTGGCACGACGGCCGAGCACAGCCTCCCAGAGGAGCACTGGTGCAAAGATGCAGGGCGGGGCAGCCAGGCCAGATTTCCAGCCGAGCTCCCAGCAGGGGCGTCTCTGCCCGCCGTGTCGTTGGCGGGGTGAATCCCGGTCTCAGAGGAGCTTTCTGACAGGTTCGCCTGAAGGGGTCTCCTCATTCTTCATTCAAGTGGAGCAGGCATTAGCCAAGCTGGTCTGCTAGAGCCAGGGCCCGATCCCAGAAGGGGCCCGATCCCACCCCCACTGAGGGGATGTCCAGGGGCGCCCATCCTCCCGCCGGATCGGGCCTCGGGGTGGACAAGAGCCATGCCTTGGCTCCAAGGAACAGAAAGGGGATTCTTTAGCGAGGCTGCTGGATACACCCAGCCCCTGCGAGCCTCTCTGACTCCCAGACTGGCTAACACAGCCCGCCCCGCCTCGTCACCGCCTGGGGAGTCCCTACGTCCTGACCTCGAAGGCTGACGAGACTAAAGGGTCCTTGGTTCTGGTAGGGGTAGGGCCACTGCTCGGCCTAGGGGTAGAGCCATCCAAATCCTCTGGTCAATGCCATCGCGCCTTTCACAGCTCAGAGCCGCCTGTGGCTCTTGCAAGAAGCTAGCACTGCCCATAACAACAAGCAGCCTCCCCCCCCAGGCCAGAGACCAGTGGGACCCCACAGGCCAGGCTGAGCGGCTCTAATTGCCTTGGCCCTGGAGAGGGAAGAGGAGGGAAGGGAGTTTATCTGCTTCCAGCAGCAGCCCCGTCTGTCCCATCCTCCCCCCGCCCCCCCCACCAGCTCCGGCGTAATTAATTGTGTGCGGTGGAGATTAATAAGGTGTTTGTTTCCATGGAAACTGCCAGCCGGCTGGCCCTGCTGGCCTGATTCCCTTTTCTCCACGAGGCCGGTGGCGCTGGAATAATGCCCAAGGCTGCCTTCCCAGAGCCGCAGCGGAGAAAGGGCCCCAGTGCCGGAGGCAGGACGATTCTGCTCGGAGCACGGCATGGGGTGGGGGTGGGGGCAGACATGGCCCGGTCCATCCCCTCGGAGCATCACGGGTATCCGTTTGTTTGCCTCCAAAGCCCTCCCAGCCCAGTCCAGGCTCCCACCCAGCGCTGCTGGTGCCCCTCAGTCCCAACCCGCCTCCCCATCCTACTCAACGGCTACATGGAGCCATTCGGGGAGCTGGTAGGGCAGCCCGGACACAACACCCAGCTCTCGCCGTGCCCAAGGCAGCACCTGGATGGCGAGCGGTGGGTGACGCTGGCCCAAGTGACTGAGGGGATGCTGGTGGGAAGGGGGATCTAGCGTCTTCTCTGTCATCCCCCACTGCTGGGGACACCTGGCCTCAGGTGATTGCACAGCTCCCCCTGGATGCTGCCAGAACCCCTCCCCCATCTGCAGCTGGCCAGGAGATGATGCCCCATCCCACCAGACACACACTTGGCCCCAGGGACCCCTACATTCCCGACCTCTAGGCCTGAGCTCTGCAATTCATTGTATCTAGGAATGGAGCCACACGCCCCGACAAAGCCCCAGATGATACAAAATACAGCAGCCCGTCTCCCTCTTGAACACAGAGTCTGGTTCAAGGTCTCCAGAGCCCTCCATGGGACTGGCCCTGGCTCCCTGGGAGACGCCCCTCCTGCCATGGCCTCCCACCACGCCCCTTCCTCAGATTTATAAAAGTGGCTGCTTTCTCAGCCATGACTGCATATGAGGGGCAGCTCGTCCCGTTTCCCCTGCTGCAAGAGCTCCCGGTAGAGTCCGAAAGGCCTGGAAAACCAGTTAAATAGTCCGAGCCCTGTGAGACCGAGTCAGCCAGCACAGACCAGCCCCGAGCATCTAATTGCAATGTAGACATTCCCTTGGGGGCTTCACTTGGCTTTGGAATCACCCCTGGGTGAGCTGTCCAAAATGTTAGCACCAGGAAATCGGGATCCAGCCCAGGTCATTAAGAGCCGTGACTATCTGAAGACTGGCCCATATGTAATGATGCGTTTGAGGGGGCTCAGTCCAGTTCCTAGTGAACTGGTGACCATCATCCCAGCTGGCACTCAGCAGAAAGGCTGATCCATGAATGAATGAGCCCTGGAGACTGGCTATCCCTCTGGCCCCAGAGGCAGGGCAGAGGTCCATGGTGCTGCTGCTGTTTGGGCTGGAGCTGAGCTGGGGTCAGTGGTAATTTGTCGATCCAGCTCCTTGCACCAGTGCTAACTTCACTCTTGAGAAGAGAAATTCTGTGCAGTGCAAGGTAGCATCTTCTGGCACGGAATGAAAGGGTACGTCTACATGGCCGGTAGACACCCGTGGCTGGCCTCCCTCCTCATGGGGGCCCAGAGCTCAGGCTCCAGCCCTGGGAATGTCTACATGGCAGTTTTATAGCCCTGCCACCCAAGCCCCACTGGGGCCAGCCGCAGGGGTCTAATACCCAGACTCTAGTGCCACTTGAATGCCAGGATTTGCTGTGCTCTGTTGAGGGTGGCGGAAGCGTCCAGTTAGCTACCGCGTCAGTGCACCCGCAGAGAGCTGCATTGTTTGCCCTGGGAAGTGTCACATAACTCCCTGCTCAACGAGACATGCAAAACTGCAGCTGCTTCAGGGAACTAGCCCCAAGCTCCAGCCATGCAAAAAGCGCTGCGCGAAGTGCTGCCGCAGGCCTGCAGGAGGCGCTCTTGCTGGGAGGAAACATTACCCCACCTTGCCAAGGGAGGGGGCACCTGGGAGAGGGGCAGGCTGGGAGTGCCCCAGGCTGAGGTCGGTTCAGGCAGAGGCGATGGTGTACTTCAGTTCCAACCTGCACTATCCCCGTCCCCTGCTATTCCAGTCCAGGGCATCCTGCAGGTAGCCCTGCCAGTGCCCCTCAATCCTGACCCGCAGCCCCCCTCCCGCCCCCACTCCTCCACCTCGGGTCCCTCCCACAGCTCTGCCAGCACCCATCAATCCTGACCCGCAGCCCCCCTCCCCGCCCCCACTCCTCCACCTCGGGTCCCCCCCACAGCTCTGCCAGCGCCCCTCAATCCTGACCCGCAGCCCCCCTCCCCCCGCTCCTCCATCTCGGGTCCCCCCCACAGCTCCACCAGCGCCCCTCAATCCTGACCCACAGCCCCCCTCCCCCCTCCGCTCCTCCACCTCGGATCCCACCCACAGCTTCTCCAGCGCCCGTCAATCCTGACCC